TGCTAGTGCCTCACGGAAAGGTCCTGATCACTACTTGTGATCGGAACCTTTCCAATCATGTGACCACTGTGGCAGCCAATCACGGTGGTCACATGACCCTAAAACCCAACCTCCCGGCGTCACAAAGCCCTAAAGGGCTGAGAGGCGCCGGCGCCAAGGGGTTAAATAGATTAAACAGACAGATAGTGAGAGATAGTGGGAGATAGAGAATGAAAAATAGAGGAAAGAGAGAGATAGGGTTCTTTTAGACAAGTGGTGTATGTTATGATCAGAAAAGGATCCATGAACAGAATCACAGAACTTTGTGACATCTGTGTCTATTCAGTTTTTTCCTCGCAGACCTGAATGGTTATGGTCTATGAGCAGATGGATGTAAATGGATGTGCGTCCCTTTACATACATTTACCTACGATCCGTCATATTTAGGTCTGAGAAAACAGAAAAGGACGCAAACCTTTTCAATTTTTTTTTTTGGACCCAGAGACAATCAAATGTAAATAGATGCCTACCATTTACATACGCCCGCTCATAGACTAGCACTGAGCTTCTGTTGCAATCTGCTTGAAAAATTGATAGGTGGATGCAGGGGCGGACTGACAACTCATGGGGCCCCTGGGCGATAGGGGATTATGGGGCCCCTGTGTCCTTGCCCAACTCAAAAAAGCCTATGAAAAAGGTACCAGGTGCATCTCATGGGGCCCCCTACTGACCCCGGGCCCTCGGGCAATGCCCGAATTTCCAAATGGTCAGTCCGCCCCTGGGTGGATGTGATCGGAACACTACTGTGAAAGGACCAATATAGGGAAGGAAAGAGAGAGAAAACTCTTGTATTGAACTGTATTGTTGCTGTATTGTCTCCTATTGTACAGCGCTGAGCAAACTGTTGGCGCTATATAAATCCTGTATAATAATAACAGGTAGGATTTATTCACCGCTGCACCTCTGAAAAGCAATTTCTGCTCAGATTGCTTTTCAAAGGTGTTTGACAGGTGGTGAAACGGTGGTATGCTGCCTCCTCACTGCCTAATTTAACCCTCTGGGGGAGGGGGGCACTAATGTCTCAGATTGGCACTGATTATTTTTAGGTTTGATCTCTAAGGGTCACTTGGCAGCTGAAGGGTGGCTATCATCAGCTGTACAAACTTTCAGACACCACATCTTTTTTTCACTTATAATTATACTGCATGGGTGATCATGTCATTTAATGCACATATTGTATAACATTCCCATTATTGGTATTATTTGCTACAGAATTTTTGCGTTCTGTGATGTTCCACTCCAATCAGTGTGTGTGCTGTACTGATGGGTCTGTGCATACTTGTTTCATTTAAATAAATCTAAGACAATGGATAACACCCCATTTCCTGTGTTTCCAATGCACATGGTGGATATGGAATGACATATGACTTTGATTTAAATGTATATCTGGGCAAATAAAAAAAACAACATATTCAGTACACAATGCTTCTACATTTCCCCATATTTTATCCCTTTAAAAAATGCTGCAAGTACAGAAAAATACTTGGTGATCTACAAGTAATCTAGTGAGTTCCTAACTTCCAATTTCAGGTGACAATCTGCCTTTGCTGCCCTAAAAATCCCGTCACGGAAACTTTCATTGAAATATGTTTCTCAATAGTCAGTGTGGATATAAATCCACTTTATGCCTTTTCAAACTCAGATGTTGGGCTCCATTCACAAAAGCAGATCACATGCGGTATTTAGGTGTTTTCCCAAATACTGCATGCGATCCTGAAAATGTCCATTCACTATTGCTTTATGTAGTATTTACCAAAAATGCTCAGTAAATATCATATAAAACAGGAGTTAAAATCAATTCACAAAAAGAAATAAATAAATAAATCCACGCAGTAAATAAGTATTGGTCCCGGCCTGCGGTAGTTAAGGAACTGGCAGCTGCCAGCATCCTTAACAACCAGTAAACAACATAGTGGTTAAGGAGTCGGTGGCTTCCACGTCCTTAACAACCAATGAATGTCAGCTGTCAGCGGGGTTCCCCACGGACAGTTGAATGTAAAGAATTACTGGATTTTAAAAATATCTGAAAAAAACGCAAAAATCTAAAAAAAAAAAGGTGTGGGGGTCCCTGCCAAAATCCATACTACATCCTTATCTGAGCATGCAGCCTGGCAGGTCAGGAATGCGAGATGGATGTGCACCCCCCTCCCCCTGTGAATATCTCTTTAAGGATGTCCTTTAAGAAACATATGGCTATGAACTGACAATCATACAGACTCATGAACCATCTACTTCCTCTGTTCAATGGTTTCTTTTTAGCAATCACATTAAAAGATTCTAAAGCAGCCTGGATCCTCCTCTTCCTGGGTCCCCCGCAGGCTCTCCCGGCCCTTCCCTCCTGTCGGGTGCCCCCACAGCAAGCAGCTTGCTATGGGGGCACACGCTGCTCCATGTGTTCAGTCACACATGGAGCTACGGCTTGGCCCCGCCTCCTCTCTCCCCTCATTGGCTGACTGGTTTTGATTGTAAGCAGCAGGAGCCAATGGCTCCCTCTTGCTGTCTTAGCCAATGAAGAGGCAGAGACCTGGGACAGCAGAGGCTGTCATTCACATCACTGGATAGCGATGGGACTCAGGTAAGTATTGAGGGGGCTGCTGCACACAGATATTTTTTTTACCTTCATGCATAGACTACACAAAGGTAAAAAACCTTCAGCCTTTACAACCACTCAAAGACACTGAATGTAATAGTCCTGCATCTTTCATTGTATAGACCAGCACACCATTGAAGAAGAGTCTTCAACAAGACTCCACAGAGAAGAAGTGGAATTCTGATTAAACAAAAATTGTACGATCTGGTCTGATATGAGAAAAATTTTTGTGTTTGTCCCTTTAAATAATTTCAGACGAAAGCTGTGTACTAATGATCAGGTTATCGTACGATTGCTTCGAAAGCGGTATTTTTCACACAATTTTCTGAATGCGTGTACCAGGCTTTAGGGCTTATACACATGGGCATGTAATGTAAAATAGGGCCACATTTCAGTGCCCAGGATCCAATGGTGTTGCATACAGCCAACTGTACAAATCAGGCCCAGACTGGCCATAGGGCACACTGGGCATTTGCCGCCTGGATAGGAGAGATGGCGAAGTGGCACATAGAGGAACTGGTCCGTGCATTTCACTTCTGCAGTGAATCCCCCCTTCTCCTCCTCTCCCTCCTGCAGGCATTCAGCTGCAAAAGAAGAGAAATGCACAGACTGGTTCTTCTATGTCCGGCCAGCCACTCCTCCTATCCATCGTCTGCTGCCCTGGGCTCCTGTATACTCCCCCGGTGGCCAGCCTCCACTCATCCCCCGCAGCGCTGCCGGGTTCCCCCCCTCCCTGCATCTGCTGCGGCAGATCTGTCAGAATAGAATGTCTCCTGGTTCTCTGAGCTGAGAGAGTCTCTCTCCCACAGCCCAGAGCTAGTGCTGACAGTCCCTCCCCCACACTATAGATGGGAGAGGAGATTGAAAGCTGGTTCTGCCCCTCCTCCTCCTGACCTCTTCCTCTGTGTCTGCCCCGCCCACACTCCCGGCAGTCTTGTTTATTCTCTCTTCCCTTCTTCTTTCTTTCTCTCTCTCTCTCTTTCTTTCTTCTCTTTCTGGTTCTGCCCCCCTCCCCTTCTTCTTTCTTTCTCTTTTTCTTTCTTTCTCCCTTTCTTTTTCTTTCTTTCTACCTCTTTCTTTCTCTTTGTTTGTTTCTTTCTCTTTTTCTCTTTCTCCCTCTTTCTTTCTCTCTTTTTCTTTCTTTCTCTCTTTTTGCTTTCTCTCTCTCCCTCTTTCTTTCTTTCTTTTCTACCTCTTTCTTTCTCTTTGTTTGTTTCTCTCTTTCTTTTACTTTCTCTTTTTCTCTTTCTTTCTCTCTATTTCTTTCTTTCTCTATTTCTTTCTTTTCTTTTTCTTTCTTTCTTTCTCTCTCGCTTTCTTCTTTTTCTCTCTCCTCTCCTCTTTCTTTCTCTCTCTTTCTTTTTTTCCTTTCTTTCTGTTTCTCTCCCTCTTTCTTTCTCTCTTTTCTTTCTCTCTCTTTCTTTCTTTATCCTTCTTTCTGTCTCTCTCTCTTTCTTTCTTCTTTCTCTCTCCCTCTTTCTTGCTCTCTCTCCTCTCTTCTTTCTTTCTTTTTCTCTTCCTCTTTCTTTCTTTCTTTCTCTCTTTTTTTTCTTTCTTTCTCTCGCCCTCTTTCTTTCTTTCTCTCCTCTTTCTTTCTTTCTCTTTTCTCTCCCTCTTTCTCTCTTTTTCGTTCTTTCTCTCTTTTTCTTTCTCTCTCTCTTTCTTTTCTCTTTCTCTCTCCTCTCTTTTTCTCTCCCTTTCTTTCTTTCTCTCTCTCTCCTTCTTTCTTTTTCTCTTTCTTTCTCTCTCTCTATTTCGCTCTTTCTTTCTTTCTCTGTTCCACCAACAGGCTCCAAGGAAAAGATCCCTGGGTTTGGGGCTGCTCAGTCTAAACGGGCCTCTTTTCTGTCTCAGGCCAGGCTGGGTACAAATGAATAACAGGCTACAATTGTATGTGGGTAAACACAGCTCCACACGTGAACATGCGTACATGTAGGGACTTAAATCCTTGAATGTAGACTGCATAGTTTAGGGAGAGAAGATGGCAGATTATGAACATGTTCTTGGATAATGGAAAGGCTTCCAAAATAGACTATTCTGATCATAGAATTAATTTTTTTTCATTTTGTCAAAGTCACTCGATGAATATCCATAGCCAGGTTCATTTTCATTGTGTGGCCACAATGTTACCATAACCTCAGTGCAGTCACCGAATTTGTCAGTTCGTAATAAAGTTGTGTGACACAGCCTGTGCGTCTGTTCCTGTTACCATGGAGCTGGAATGTGCAGGTCACTTCCGCCTGTCACCGGGAAGATGGCGGCGCCCAGAGGACACGCGTTAGTGCACCGGGTCCTGGCGGAATGTCCGATCACCAAAGCCCGGGCCTGCGAGCTGACCTTACCGCACGGGCCGGTGAAGACCCCGGTGTTTATGCCGGTGGGGACTCAGGGGACGATGAAGGGGATCACGGCCGATCAGCTGAGGGATCTGGGCTGTGAGATCTGCCTGGGGAACACCTACCACCTGGGGATGAGGCCGGTGAGGATGGACTTTATTTTGTAGTACTACAAGTCCCAGCTATCACCTGAAACCCCCATGCTGACAATGGGGGCGCATCCTTGGGATGAGGAGTCAGCAGGATGCAGAATCTTGATGTATTGATTGCCTGGAAACCAGATCTGGATCATCCACAGGGCAAACCAGGGCCTAGGCACAGCTGGAATCTACATGATCCTGCATTTAACCCTTTCCCTGCCAGAGCTGCTTTTGCATTTTTTTTGCACACGTTTAAAAAAAAAATAATTTTAGGCCTGAAGATTACACAAAACCCCCAAACATGATATATTTTCTGAAAGCAGATGCCCTAGAGAATAAAGTGGCAGTTTCAATTTTCTATGCCAAGCAATGTTACCGCAAAGGTCTAGGACACAGGTATCAAACAAGGCCCGAGGGCCGAATCCGGCCCTCCAGGCCATTTCATGTGCCCCTCAGACCTCTCCTGCAGCTGTGGCACCGCCTGCATCTCCACCTTGTCTCAGCAGTTGGCAGAAGAGAGGAAGACGGAACTCCTCCGCCAAATCCTGAGCTTCTCCATGCACCCGCAAGAGGTTCATCTCTGCTACCCCCCCAACCCTGGTCTCAGCAGTTGGCAGCAGAGAGGAGGACAAAACTCCTACAGATCCTGCACTTCTCTATGCAGCTGCAGCACAGCCTCGTCTCAATCTTCCCTGGTCTCAGCATTTAATAGTCTCCAGCATCTCTCCTCTGGTCCTCCTCCAGACCCTGCACTTTTCTACACTGTGATGTAGGGGAGAATAGGGTGCTCTGGACACCTAGTCATACAGATAAAACTGGCCCTTTGAGGGCAACCATAATGCTGATGCGGCCCACCATAAAAATTGAGCTTAATACCCCTGGTCTAGGAAACACAAAATTTCAGTAAAAACAAACTAAAGTGAATTTTAGGGCAAACAAACACAATAAATTACCCATATTTCTGGTAAAATATAAAAGATGAGGTTGCATCAAGTATATAGATACCAAACATGCCAAACCTTAAAGTGGAGCTCCACTCAAAAGGGGAAGTTTCGCTTTAATCCTTTGTCCCCATTAGGGATTGGCACCTTGGGGGAGCGTGTACTCAAATTTGACTGGGCTTCCACTGCAATTGCCTAAGGTGATCGGAAGCGGAAGTTGTCCTCCCTCCCTCTCCGTAGTCCTCTGGGACACGTGACAGGTCCCAGAATACTACGGGGCCATTCACAAAGTGCAGCACTACTCACACATGCACAGTGAGCACCCGGCTGTGAAGCTGCAAGCTGTCACAGCCACATTGAGCACCAGGCTTTGAAGCTGCAAGCTGTCACAGCCGGGTGACCACACTGAAGATGCCGGGGAGAGAAGACGTCCGGTGAAACCAGCCATGGTGAGGACATCGCTGGATCGAGGGACAGGTAAGTGGCTGTATTTTAAAAGTCAGCAGCTACAGTTTTTGTTGCTGCTGACTTTATTTTTTTCAACTGGAACTCCACTGTAAATTTGTGTGCGCCTATGAAATGGCGGTAAACTTCAGTACCCCTCTACAGGTCATCAGTTTAGAGTTACGGAGGAGGTTCCCCTATGTGATGATGTGTAGGTTACAGGTTCTCTTTATTAAGACACGCAGGGTGTACTAGTCCCTGCATGTCTCCTCTGGGCTCCACTGGATGTATTGCAATACATTGCTTCTCAGCTATGCTAGCTGGGAAAGTAACAAGGGTGACTCAGAAGTGATGTAACACACATCACCTTCTGGGTCATAGAAAGAAGGGAGGTAGCTTTACACGGCTTTACCCTTGATGCCGTATAGTATACGCTATAAAATTAACCTCTTCACGCCAGCCGCACACAAATGTGCGGCCTCCTGGCATCTGGGCTTAAACGCCGAGCGGCCACACATTTGCGTGCAATGAAGAAAAACATATGCGCTCCCAGCATACATGTTCACGGAAAGGTCCCGATCTCCTCTTTCGATTGGGACCTTTCCCGATCATGTCACCGTGAATCACGGCAGTCACATGACCTTAAAACCCCGCCTCCCGGCTTCTGAAACCCTTAAAGGGCCGGGAGGTGCTGGCGCCAAGGGGTTAAAATTATTAGGAAGAAGGGGGAGAAATTTTCTTTTTTTTTTTTTTGTTGCTTTTTTTTTTTTTTTTTTTTATGTGCGTTTTTTTTTTTGTCAAAGGATATTTTGCATGCCACTCCTAGCAATTTTCCACAATGGCACTTAGTTCCACTTTTAAAATTGAATAGATGGCTGTATCTGTGTTTGTGGATGTCTGATATTATATATATTTTTATAGGGTCCTGAAGTGATGAAGAAAGTGAATGGCCTGCATGGTTTCATGAATTGGGACCGGAACCTTCTCACAGTAAGTTGGGCGTTCACTGCAATACAAACGGTTGGAGCTAAATGTGCAAGATACTATAACCCGTAGGCGCCAATTAGAGATGCAGCTTCACTAGACTGCATTGTCCTCTAGACATCTGATCCTGCATTTCAGTAGGGAAACTCAAATGACTCTGATCTAGCAGAACATTTTTAGGGTAAAATCCTGTTAGATTCACTAAAACTATGAAATAATGCTTTTAACTCCATCCATTTATCCCAGAATGTAGTCTAGTGCTGGCATGTGATTGTAAAATGTGAGAATAAATGTTTACTTGGCTTAGTTGGTAGCGAAGATGATTAAAACAGAAGAAGCACTATCAGCAATAATCCAGCCCAGTCATGGGGCACCATCATCCCAAGTAGGCTACACCCTGCAATCCCTGAATTAAAATGGCTATAAACCCTCACATATACCATGTGAAGTGACTGGCCTCAGATAATACACAAAGATAAAACAATTCCTCCTACATAATTTGTACCAGTTTATTTTCAGCCATTTGTCTTCATCCTTCTAAAACTCAGAGCTAAATATTTGTAAAAAGTTTTGAAAACCATTTATCATTTTCCTTCCACTTCACAATTATGTGCCACTTTGTGTTGGTCTATCACATAAAATCCCAATAAAATGCATTTACATTTTTGGTTGTAACATGACAAAGTGTGGAAAATTTCAAGGGGTGTGAATACTTTTTCAAGGCACTGTACCTGTCCACAGAATTTCTTATTTCTTTTTTCCATTCAAACCTCGCCACCATGGGTCAATGTCCAAAGAGCTGTCAAATGACGTCAGAGACAAGATTGTAGACCTGCACAAGGCTGGAATGGGCTACAAGACCATCAGCAAGAAGCTTGGTGAGAAGGAGACAACTGTTGAAGAAATACAAAATAACCATCAATCGCCCTTGGTCTGAAGATCCATGAAAGATTTCGCCTCATGGGGTAAGGATGGTCATGAGAAAAGTAAGGGATCAGCCCAGAACTACACAGGAGGAGCTTGTGAATGATCTCAAGGCAGTTTGGAACACAGTCACCAAATAAACCATTGGTAACATAATATGCCGCCATGAATTGAAAACCTGGAGCACCCACAAGGTCCACCTCCTCAAGAAGGCACATGTACAGGTCCATCTGAAGTTTGCCAGTGAACATCTAAATGACTCAGAGAAGGATCGGGAGAAAGTGCTGTGCTCAGATGAGACCAAAATTGAGCTCTTTGGCATTAACTCGACTTGCTATGTTTGGAGGAAGACAATTCTGACTATGACCCTAAGAACACTATCCCTACAGTCAAGCACGGAGGTGGAAACATGCCCTCAACCAGAACACTGAAGATGAGTCGTGGATGGGTCTTCCAGCATGACAATGATTCAAAACATATCGTCAAGTCAACAAAGGAGAGGCTCAAGAAGAAGCACATTAAGGTCATGGAGTGGCCTAGCCAGTCTCCAGAGCTTAATGCTATAGAAAATTTATGAAGGGAGCTGATATTTTGAGTTGCCAAGCGACAGCCTAGAAACCTTAAGGATTTAGAGAAGATCAGTAACGAAGAGTGGACCAAAATCCCTCCTAAGATGTGTGCATGCCTTGTAACCAACTACAAAAATAGTCTTACCCCTGTGCTTGCCAATAAGGGTTTCTCCACCAAGTACTAAGTCATGTTTTGCTTGGGGATCAAATACTTATTTTACTCACTGACCTGCAACTCAATTTATAATTTATTTGTAGCATGTCTTTTTTATGGATTTTTGAATGATATCATTTAAAATGCACCAGTGATAAAAATTATGCACATAAAACCTAGTTAGCAGGGAGGAGCTTGTCGGTCCAGACCTGAAAATTGGCTGTATTGCTGGGCCAGTGAGCTGTGGGGAGGAAATTCCCTTACTCTCAGTTGCATGTAATAAAGGGGCATGGATACTCATGACATTGTTGACTGAATATGGCCACATGGCTATTAAGTAGGCTTACACTGTCCTATTATGGTCATTTGGCCAAATTAGGTCAATGGTTTGATGTCATGAGCATCCCTGCCTCTTTGTTATGTGCAGCTGCATGGCAGGGAATCTCCTGCCCACAGCTTATTGGGCCAGAGGGAATTTGTCAGTTTCCCGTAGTTTCGGGCAAAATGGGTTGGGAGCGAGTTCGGCTCCAAACCCAGCTCATCACTACTAGTTAGGGCCTACACTCAAAGCTAAGAGTACTCTAGCATATGGAAACACGCTAGGTGTCTGTGGTTTATGGTTTCTTATTGGTGATTTTAGGACAGTGGTGGCTTTCAGATGGTGTCATTGGTGGAACTCTCCAAGGTGACAGAAGAAGGCGTTCATTTCTCTTATCCCTATGATAACAGAGAGATCTTACTCACTCCAGAAAAATCTATTGAAATCCAGAATGCTCTTGGTAAGTTTTATAAATGCATTTAAATTAAAACCATTGATTTGTTAGTCCCAGAGACGGTTCACATCTGTTATATTACTGTATGTCATTTTCTAAGGGAGGCAATCAATGGATTCTTCTACTTTTCTCTCTCACGCATCTGCTTTGTATCTTCTCACTCAGGTTCTGACATCATGATGCAGCTTGATGACGTAGTGAGCAGTACCATCTCTGGACCCCGTGTTGAGGAGGCCATGTACAGGTTAGCAATAGACAATGCCTGCAATTTGTTTTACAGATGTGCCTGCGCATTATCACATGTAATACTTCTCTTTATTAAGTTCTAATCACCTTCTTCCCAACAGTAATTATTTCAGACTAGGCTGAGTAAGAGTGGATGAGCTGGCTGCAAATATTCGGGTTGCAGGAAAGAAAATCGCTTGATTTCCCCATCAACACAGTCAGTGTTGAAGGGGGAATCCCTCCTGCAGTGCTACTGTGTTCCGCTGGCAGTGATTCTTCCCTGCCAGCAGAATACAATGATCACTGCTGGAGACTATACCCACCTGCAGTAAGTACATGTAAATAATCTGACAGGCTGGTTGTACTGAAGTCAGTTGATGAATCAACTTCAGTACAACCAGCTTGTCCAGAGATGGATCGAATCCCAGCCGTTTCCTGCTTAACCGGCTAAGATTCGATCCATGTATAGCCAACTTTAGACTGGTTCTTTCTGCTCACCTCCATGTCTTCACTGTGTCCTGTACTATGTTTACTTGTCATGAAGTGGGGGCCAGCAGCAGTAATCAATGAAAGAGTCGCCTAGATTGAGGAGATCAATGCTCCCGAAAGTGTCAGTTTCTCAAAAGACTTGACTTTGAAGGATGATTTGGTGGCACAGGCAGCAGAAAAGGCTGGTATTTACATTTTTTTATTTTTACAGGGAAAGGACCTATTTAATTTTTAAATCATTTACAGTGTCACTTTAAAGCTTAAGCGCAGCCAAAACAGAAGAATCAGCATAAGGGGCATAACTTACAGCCACTATGATGTGTCCCTTGTGCTGATTCATCTTCTCTTAGTAGTAATTATTATTATTATACAGTATTTATAAAGTGCCATTAGTTCGCTCAGCGCTGTACATTACAAAGGGGCACAGAACATGTGACAGAACAACAACAATACAATGCAAATCATGAGGGGATTGAGGGCCCTGCTCTTTCAAGCTTACAATCTAGGAGGGAAGGGATAGTGGCACAGGAGGAGATAGCTGTGGGGAATGGAGTGGTAGGAAGAGTGGAGGAGGTCGGCAAGTTAGCAGGGGGTGGGGTAGGCTTCCCTGAAGAGATGGGTTTTCAGGGTGCGCCTAAAGGAGAGGAGAGTAGGTGATAATCTGATTGGTTGGGACAGGGAGTTCCAGAGGATGGGTGACACCCTGGAGAAGTCCTGGAGGAGGGCATGGGAGGAGGAGACCAGGGAACTAGAGAGAAGGAGGTCTTGTGAGGAGCGGAGTGTGCGTGCTGGGTGGTACTTGGATATTAGGTCGGTGATGTAATTTGGGGCAGTATGGTGGACGGCTTTGTACATCAGTGTTAGGATTTTGAATTTGATCCGTTGCGCAATCGGAAACCAGTGGAGGGATTGGCAGAGGGGGGTGGCGGAGATGGAGCGGTTGGAAAGGTGAATGAGTCTGGCAGCCGTATTCAGGATCGACTGAAGCGGGGATAGCCAGCGGCAAGGCAGGCCAGTAAGGAGGGAGTTGCAGTAGTCAAGTCGTGATATGATGAGGGAGTGGATGAGCTGTTTAGTGTTTTCTGGGGTTAGGAACGTGCGGATTTTGGCGATGTTGCGGAGGTGGAGTCTGCACGAGTTTGTTAAAGATTGGACTTGGGGCTGGAAGGATAGGTTGGAGTCCAGAATGACACCAAGTACTCTGGCCTGCAGGGCGGGTTTGATGGTGGCGTTGTTGGACATGATGGAGAAGTCAATGGGGGGTGGTGTCCGGGCTGCCATCAAGGGGGTCTGACTATGCCCGCCGTTTTCGCTCAGCTGTTCCATTCATAGAATCCGTACTACAGTTTCTATGAATGGAACAGGATCTAAGAATGGAGGATGGGTGGATGACTGATAGGTCCACCCCCTCAATTTATAGATCGTGTTCTGTTCATATCTGGGCAGAAAGGGTAAGCTCTTGATGAGAGCCTGTGACAGCCCCTGAGTTTTATTAACCTCTGGCACATCCAAAGATTACGGTGGTGGGGGAGAGGAAGGACAGAGGACGATTACTACTAACAGAAGAGGATTCAACACAAGGGACACATCCTACTGACTTTAAGTTAGGTTCTTTGTGCTGATTTTTATGCTTTTGCTTTGATTTTGTTTGCACAAAGAGATCACATGCACAGAGATCAGGCACAGGTCAGCACATCTCAGGAGGCAGGTATGATCATAAACTAAAGGGAGTATTATAGATTAGAATAAAATGATCATGGGGCACACAAAATCCATGGTCATCTACATAGAATCAGGCAGAATTTTAAATTGTCTCATATTTCTAAATTGTTTTACTTTTGACCAGACTTCTTTCTTAATGTTAGATCCATCCGCTGGCTAGATCGCTGCCTTGCTGCCAATAAACACCCAGAGAAAAACAGAACCTGTTTGCCATTATACAGGGAGGACTTGATGCTCAGCTCCGCAAGAAATGTTTAGAGGGTACGTATGTCTGGTCATATCAGAGCCCTGCTTTACAGTACTGTGTGCACACAGGAGGCTTTAACAGGTAAATAACATACACTATATTGCCAAAAGTATTGGGACACCCCTCCAAATCATTGGATTCAGGTGTTCCAGTCACCTCCATGATGACAGGTGTATACAATCAAGCACCTAGGCATGCAGACTGCTACAAACATTTGTGAAAGGTTCGCTCTCAGGAGCTCAGTGAATTTAGGCATGGTACCATGATAGGTTGCCACCTGTGTAACAGCAACTCAGCCACCAAGTAGTAGGCCACGTAAAATGACAGAGCGGGGTCAGCGCATGCTGAAGCACACAGTGCGCAGAAGTCGCCAACTGTCTGCAGAGTCAATAGGTAAAGACCTCCAAACTTTATTGTGGCCTTCAGATTAACACATCAACAGTGCATAGAGAGCTTCATGGAATGGGTTTCCATGGCCGAGCAGCTGCATCGAAGCCTTACATCACCAAGTGCAATGCAAAGCATTGGATGCAGTGGTGTAAAGCACGCCACCACTGGACTCTAGAGCAGTGGAGATGTGTGCTCTCGAGTGACGAATCATGGTTCTCAGATGGATGGATGACTGTGTCTGGTTTTGGTGGTTGCCAGGAGAACGGTACTTGCCTGACTTCATTGTGCCAAGTGTAAAGTTTGGTGGAGGGGGGATTATGGTGTGGGGTTGTTTTTCAGGGGTTGGGCTTGGCCCCCTCATTCCAGTGAAGGGAACTCTTAAGGCATCTGCATACCAAGACATTTTGGACAATTTCATGCTCCTAACTTTGTGGGAACAGTTTGGGGATGGCCCCTTCCTGTTCCAACATGTCTGCACACCAGTGCACAAAGCAAGGTCCATAAAGACATGGAGGAGCCAGTTTGGGGTGGAGGAACTTGACTGGCCTGTACAGAGTCCTGACCTCAACCCCATAGAACACCTTTGGGATGAATTAGAGTGGAGACTGTGAGCCAGGCCTCCTCCCCCGACATCAATGCCTGACCCCGCAAACGTGCTTCTGGAAGAATGGTCAAACCTTCCCATAGACACCCTCCTAAACCTTGTGGACGGCCTTCCCAGAAGAGTTGAAGCTGTTATAGCTGCAAAGGGCGGGGCCAACTCAATATTGAACCCTACGGACTAAGACTGGGGGGCCATTGAAGTTCATGTTCGTGGAAAGGCCGGCCCGACCAATACTTTTGGCATTATAGTGTACATAAAATATGTTAAGTGCACATATAACCTTATGGGAAGACTTATTAATCCTATGAAATGAACGGTCTGTTGACAGGGTCTCCTTAAGGGGAAAGGACATTTTCTTACCGATAGTGAAGTTAATATTGTGGACAAAGAAGACAACAAGTTCACAAGAAGATAGATGGCATCTATGTCAAACTATCTATAACAGGGCTGGGGTGTTGATCATCGTCACCCACATGTAAAGCCATTTTAGAATGTGTGTCCCAGGGATTTGACAATAATTCACACCTGCAGCCATGTAACTCAAACAATTAACACTTGTTCCAGTCTTCATGACACCATGATAATAGGATCATGTAATTAGATTTTACAAACTTTCACGCCTCCAGTCATGTTCTGGACAATGGACATCTGCCTTGATACATTTTATGACACCCTGGTTATTGGATTAACCCCTTCCCACCTGCAATCTGTAGATTAAAGTTCCCCTGCAAACTGCCTTTTGCCAAGGATACATTAATCCACGTCCTCCCTTTCATAGCTACCAGCTATTGCTTTGCACAGCTGCTAAATGTCAAACCTGGCTGTTACTGACCGCTCCAGTACCCACTAACAATTGAAAACCAGAATGGTTACTGGTCGCATGATTACTAGACATCAAACTATGATGACCCCAAAAGTGGTTACATACACAAAGGGGGAGATTTACTAAAACTGATGCAGAAAGAATCTGGTGCAGCTGTGCACGGTAGCCAATTAGCTTTCCAACTTCAGGTTGTTCAATCAAGCTTTGACAATAACACCTAGAAGCTGATTTCTATGCACAGTTGCACCAGATTCTTTGTGCACCTGTTTTAGTAAATCTCCCCCATAGGTTATATAGTGGGACATCTGTAGCATTGCTCACACAAATTTTATTGGCATCAAAATATACAAAAAAATGTTCAATATACAACAAATTGTAACAAATTGATATACAAATTCTACAACCCTCCACAATGTTAAAATGACATCATCGTTACAATCTATATATCCATTCAGTCGAATCCGACCCTTGGCAATTGCATGGACCGTCACTCGTAAGCGACTTTTTCCATGAATTCTCTTAGCAATTATTTTACAGGGTAGGTTGCCAGGTCTTTCCATTGTTACAATAGTACCACCAAATATCTGGACCAGTCACACATTTTCTGCCATTAAATCACTTTCGATCACATATGGATCAAAATTGCAGTTTCTCAAACTGAGGTTACACCTCTTCCTAACATTACCTCAAGGGAATTCACTTCCATTGGATCACAGATGCTGTACTAAAATCATTACAATAGTTAACCAGAGGGAACACCCACTAAGCATAGCCGCAATGTCTATAAGGTTTTAGCACTTTGCAATAAATTTGTCTTATTTCTTCAAATAATAAAGGATCTTGGGCAGCGATCACCTCTCTTATCATACCTGGGGAACAATTAATGAATTTTGCAAAACCTCTAAAAGACACAGCAATAGCAGCAAGTTGGTAATGAATATCCAGCTGCAAGCTGCACTATTTATTGAGGCTATAGACATATCTCATTATGCAGTTAGTGTGCCAAAGCGAAAGCAGCGATAGCAAAAGTGGCTTCTCGGCCTTTTGGCTAAGATCAAGTGTAGTATCTGTTCTTATCAGTGTCCAGCAGGGGTGCTCCACGGTCATTCTAGCTTTGCGGGGATGACTGGTTGTATAGTACCCCTGCTGGTATGATGGGGGTCCTGATGGCTAGTACAGGTTGGAACAGAAACCGTGGTACCCATAGATAGTTGGGGCCCGGGAGTAATTCCCCCTGGAAAACCTGAGGGGCCCAGTTCCTCCTGATTTGAACGGATCTACCTTGTCTGGCCAGGGGGCACCGTGAACCAGTGCCCCCTGAGTGGTCGCCTCAGGGGTGCTCTTAGTAACACTTGGGTGTGGGACCCCAGCGCGTGAAAAGGCACATGGTCACTGTGTTCAAACACTTTTCTTGCACAGCGCCTTTAGGACCGGGCCTTCTGGCTAAGTTCTGGGCAATTTTTACAGGCCTCAGGGCCTGGTCTGTGCACAATCTGTACGACCACTTTTTATTTATTTATTTCTTCTCCCACGTTTGTCACTTTCACTTATGTGTGTGTTTTTATTTCCTCACAGGATGGAGGGTGTGGGTCCTCGGGTCTACCTTGAAGTCTAGGGGGAGGATGTGTGGCCTTTTGGTTCCTTCCTCCCCTGTCCCTAGGTAGTTTTCTCTTCAGGAGAACCCCCTGGCCAAGTACTGAGTGGCTGGCTTCGGCTGGCCACAAAGAACGGTGGTCCGCCAGGCCTTTTGGATAGGTGGACCAAATGGGAACCTTGTCCCTGTCAGGAGCTTCGTGCCCAGGGGGATCAGGGTAGAGGTCCATCCCCCTCGGGGGAAGGACAAAGCACACCCCTAAGTGCGCTTTTTTGTGTGGTGTTTTGCACTTGCACGTTTTTTATGAACACTTACGGGTTTTTTCGTACGTTCGCGGACTTAAAAAAAAAAAAAATAGCAAAAGTGTTGGCAAAAATAAGCGCTGTAGTATCCGCAAATTAAAGCAGAACTCTGAGTAAAAACCTCTTTACATGCCCTTGCTGCTGATTTCCTACCTTCACTGAATATGTCATCCATCTTCCCTTCTTTTGGTTCACTCAGTAGTTGCTCTGAAATAGCCTATTCATTTTCAAATCAAACTGTTAATTCTCTTTGGTTTCCTGTTTGTAAGACCAGTAGCTGCAATGCCTCTTATTCCCACATCCACTGGTCTTGGCACATCCCTTCTGTAGTTCTTTCTCCAGGAAGCAGTGATTTCATTCAGCTCCACTTGCAGTGGTGGGTGGACCAGGACATTCAACATGTACAGGCCTAGTGTACCCGCCCACATTCACTACAATTCCCAGTGGATGATGGGAACTGTAGTTTCCTTTTACTGCCGAGAGATAGAAGAACATATGATGTAATCCCTGCTGTTACACATCTTCCTTGGCAGAGCAGGCACTGTTATCTTGAAATGCATAGATGGAGTCATGAAACTTCAATTAGACTTTTCTTCTAAATGGTAAGGATTTTTAAAAATTGTATTAACTGTTTAGTGATTTGTATAAGTGGTGTACTAATGGATGATTTTGTTTGCCTTTCCCTGAGTTCTTCTTTAATAAAGAGTATCAAGCTATAGCAGGCTGCACCTTTCATTTAGTCTGTAACAGTGGTTATTCACTTATGAGCTTAGTGGGGCCTCAATTGCAGCCCCTGACATCACCAAGGGGCCACACATAATGTTCAATATATGTAATGCTTGAGAGGACTGTCAAAAACTGCAGACCTAAAAGAGGAAATTAGGGTCTGAGAGTGTGGACATGCTACATATTTGGCTGGGGATGGCTGCAGAAGACAATACAAAACTGGGAACATGTTACATGAAGCTGGTATAGAGATCAATGTTCCCACTACAAACTGCTAAGGTCCAAGGGCCACACATCATGTACCAGAGGGCCATATGCAGCCCTCATGCCTCAGTTTGGACACCGGGGGTCTATAAGCTTTAGATCATCATGTGGTTAGTATGCTGAAGCAGAGTTTGCAGATGTTTAATTTTTTTTTATGATATAAATCACTCTGAAACACAATGCCCCATCCAGGGGCGGACTGACCATTTGGAAACTCGGGCACTGCCCGAGGGCCCGGGGTCAGTAGGGGGCCCCATGAGATGCCCCTGGTACCTTATTTTCATAGGGTTTTTTGAGTTTGGGCAAGGACACAGGGGCCCCATGATCGCCTATTGCCCGGGGGCCCCGTGAGTTGTCAGTCCCATCTTAGCACCTCCATGCTTCAGTGGTCACTTCTACCCACCCCTCCATTATGTTGCTCCTCGACATGGAAATCTATATCTGGCGATGAATGGCCATGATGGCTGCTACAACAGAACCTTTTGTCTTAATATGTAGAACCGACTGCCATGACTGGTGGTATTCTGCCACTGTGCAATTCGTCCCTGCCGTTAGATCAGCCTGCATAGGCTATCAAAGGGTGCAGCCTTGGGCTGGAGGGAATAGGACCATACCTGTGATGTTGACACGTTTTGCCTGGCTGCCATCAGAATGTATGGTTACTATGTCGGCTATGATTTAGTGATCACATGCAGACTGAATGCTTTATTCAGAAAAAAAAAATGGTTTCAGATTGCAAAGTCCAATGATGGCACTGTGCATCTATTTAATTCCCTAATATAATTATAGTATTAAATAATAATAAAAAAGAATTAAAATAAAGTGTCATCCAACTTTAGCATTACATGACATGTCCATTTGAATGTCACAAACTGATACTAGTCATAGTATGTGAGGCTTCTTTTTTGTAGCTGGCGTCCCTCTTTAGGTATATTTCTTTGTTGTTGTAGAGATGACCAAGCGAAATGTCCCCGGCTTTGCTATTGGTGGCCTTAGTGGAGGGGAAGAGAAAGATCACTTCTGGAAGATGGTGACCCTCAGCACAGACCACTTACCCAGGGACAAGCCTCGCTACCTCATGGGGGTTGGGTAAGTCTAGTCTACCACTATACCTCTGCAGTATATTAACTGGTTCCATACCAGGCCAATTCTGACATTTCTTGCCTACATGTAAAAAAATCAGTATTTTTTTGCTAGAAGATTACTTACAACCCCCAAACATTGCATATTTTTTTAGCAGAGGCTTTAGAGAATAAAATGGTGGGCGTTGCAATTTTTTATGTCGCACAGTATACGCGCAGTGGTTTTTCAAACACAATTTTTTTGGAAAAAGTACAGTATAATGAATTCTATTTCACACATAACACACACTATATAATACCTAATTTTTTGTTACAATAAATAAAGATGATGTTACGCTGAGTAAATAGATACCTAACATGTCATGCTTTAAAATTGCATATGCCCATCGACCGGCATAAACTACGGTATCTAAAAATCTCCATTGGCGACGCTTTAAAAGCCTTTACAAGTTACCAGTTTAGAGTTACACAGGAGGTCTGGAGCTAAAATCACTGCTCTTGCTCTGACATTCACGATGATACCTCACAAGTGTGGTGCAATCACCGTTTACATATGCTTTCGGGACTTACGTATGCGTTCCGCGTTAGCACTGGGGAGGAGGGCGCTTTACATTTAAAAAAAAAAATTATTTAATTTGAAACTTTTGTTTTACACTGTCTGTTTAATTTTCTTTTTGATCAACTTTATTGCTTTCACATAATGAACAACATCCCTTGTGAATGCATGGCCCGTGACAGGTCCTCTTTATGGCGAAATCTGGGGTCTATTAGATCCCATATCTCCTCTGGCCTCCAATGCAGCTGATCAAACACTGGGGGTCACAGAGAGGAAGGAAACAACGTTAGTCTCTCTCTCTCTCCCCCCCCTTATTGCCGTCCCTCCCTCCCTCTCTCTCCCCCTTTCTCCCCCCCCCCTCTCGCTCCCCCCTCTCTCCCCCCCCCCTCTCGCCCCCCCCCCCTTCCTCTCTCGCCCCCCCTCTCTTTCCCTCTCTCGCCCCCCCTCTCTCTTTCCCTCTCTCGCCCCCCCCCCCCTCTCTTTCCCTCTCTCGCCCCCCCCTCTCTCTTTCCCTCTCTCGCCCCCCCCCCTCTCTTCCCTCTCTCGCCCCCCCCCTCTCTTTCCCTCTCGCCCCCCCCTCTCTTTCCCTCTCTCTCTCGCTCCCTGTCTTGCCCCCCCCCTTTCCCTCTCTCTCGCTCCCCCCCCTCGCCCCCCTCTCGCCCCCCCTCCTCTCGCTTCCCTCTCTCTGCCCCCCTCTCTCTCCCCCTCTCTCTCCCCCTCTCTCTCTCCCCCTCTCTCCCCCTCTCTCTCCCTCTCCCCCCCTCTCTCTCCCTCTCCCCCTCTCTCTCCCTCTCCCTCCCTCTCCCTCTCTCTCTACCTCTCTCTCCCCCTCTCTCTCCCCTCCCCTTTCCCTCTCTCCTCCCCCTCCTCTCTCCCCTTCCCTCTCTCTCTCTCTCCCCCCCTCTCTCTCCCTCCCCCCCTCTCTCTCCCTCCCCCCTCTCTCTCCCTCCCCCCCCCCTCTCCCTCCCCCCCTCCCTCTCTCCCTCCCCCTTCCCTCTCTCCCTCCCCCTCCCTCTCTCCCTCCCCCTTCCCTCTCTCCCTCCCCCTTCCTCTCTCCCTCCCCCTCCCTCTCTCTCTCTCCCCCCTCACTCTCTCCCTCTCCCCCCTCTCTCTTCCCTCCCCCCCTCCCCCCCTCCCCCCTCTCTCTCTCTCTTCTCTCCCTCGCTCCCCCCCCCCCCCTCTCTCTCTCTCTCTCACGGCTCTGCAAACAGACTGGAGAGCCCAGGAACGGAGGTGCTGCCCTCAGAAGTGATCCCTATGGACCGGCAGTGGTTAAAAAAATGACCTAAAAGCTTTAGGGCCTATTTTGTGGTGCACCACAATATATGGAAATAAGAATTTTCATGAAAACACTGACAACGCTAAGCCATAGCGAACAATGCTGCTGTTAGTTGTGATGCAATGGCTTGGCATTGGGAAGTGCTGTTTTGGGGTCTCTTGGTAGGAAACTTTGCAATAGATCACAAAAAATGATTTGATTAAGATAACTTTACAATAAGCTATGATGCCAAACATACTGAAAATAGATTTTGGCTGTACATATACTTTAGGACACAGATAAAGTATTTGTGCTAGCATGAAAAGGTTTTGAGTTGTATGAAATCAGAAATATTGCACAGGGTGACAAGCCTTCATTACATAAAACAAAAGCAGAGGGCGCAGATTCAAGTGTAGTGAAAACATCACTTTATTGAAACTAGAAACAGCCAAATGGGCACTAACACGGTGAAGTGTGTCTTTTCATCATGTGAGTGCTGATTTGGCCGTTTTTTTTATTTTCTATATAATGATGTTCTTATTACACTTGAATCTGCGCCCTCTGCTTTTGTTTTTTGTGCTGACAGTTGGACATTCTCCCAGAGCTCTCAGAGAATCCGCATTGGTGTTTAGTGAAGGATGTTGGTTTAACCCTGTCCATTCCAGAATCCACTCTCTTGGACACCCAGCAGTATTCAGTTTTTCATATTTTATTTTTATAAAATATTGCTCACACTTGAGTAACTGGGTTTATACTGACAGCAAGTGTAACATTTTGTGCCATCTACTGTTCGTTGTTTGCTCTTTATGACAAGCCTTAATTGGAGGTGGGATGTTTGGGTAAAATTTGAAGAATGACCAAGCATCACAGTCTTTCAGTACAAATTTTCATTTTATATATGCTTCAAAAGACAATATTTTGCATATATTTAGCTGTCATTTTTATCCTTGTTTATTTAGACTAGGTAATTCCTGCTGTGGATAGATCTTCTCATCCATATATCTGTCCTACCACCTTCTGTTTCCTCTTTACAGATATGCCACTGATCTTGTGGTATGTGTGGCCCTCGGTTGTGACATGTTTGACTGTGTCTTCCCCACAAGGACAGCTGTAAGTAGAGGCATAAGAAGTGCTTGTTATGGGGTACAGTGGCCTTTAAAGCATATCCATCATACATGCCTCTGTGTCTTGCAGACATAGAGAGGTTTTAGTGATCATAGGATAGATCAAGAAGCCACATGGATTGATTACACTGGTGTGTGACTACTACTATATAAAAATCATGGCATGGATAGGCAACACTGATGAGCTGGCACTGATGATGCTGCTCTGCTGGGCAGCACTGATGGGTGGCACTGCTGGGTACAGGTGGGTGGCACTGCTGGGTACAGGCGTGTGACTACTACTATATAAAAATCATGGCATGGATAGGCAACACTGATGAGTTGGTACTGATGAGCTGGCACTGATGATGCTGCTCTGCTGGGCAGCACTGATGGGCGCACTGCTGGGCAGCACTGATGGGTGGCACTGCTGCGCACAGGTGGGTGGCATTGCAGGGCACAGGTGGGCAGCACTGATGGGTACAGGTGGGCGGCACTGATGGGCACTGATCATCACTTCTCTGGCAAATGCTGTGACAATGTGAGGAAAGTGCAGTCGATAACCGGCAACTGTATTTACCCGGTGATCTGCTGTGTCATTGGACACAGCTGATCACGTGGTAAAAGGCCGCCGTGATTGGCCGGTTACCGTATCATGTGATCATCTGTGTCTGTAGGACAGAGCGATCACTGGTGGCGCTGGGTGCGCTCCGCTCGGGTAGCTCAGGGGCCGTGTTCCAGAATTACGTCCATGGACGTCGTCCCAGAGCCAGACAACCGCGCTGTAGCCATACTTCGGCTATAGTGTGGTAGGGAACTGGTTAAAAAAAAAAAGTCTGGTGCACTTTTCAGCCCGGTTCAGGTGCGATTTCCAGTGTCCTAAATGTTAACAATTCGCACCTTAACCACTGAAAGAAGTCGCACCAGATGGGGCTTGGAATCATGCTGCAAACTGGCCCTACACATATGTGAACCCTGGCTCAAGGTATTTACAAATGCTGCCTGTAAATAATTTTGGGTACAATAGGTTTTTTTTTCCATTTCACAGGTGCACACAATTTAAAGGCTTGACAAGTTTGATATCTATTTACTGAATGCAACCCCATCTTTTCTATCCTTAAAAAAATGGAATTATATTGTGTTTGTATGCACTAAAATTAATTTTAGTGTAATTGTTTTCTAAAAATATAGATTGGATATATAGTTGCGCAAATTGCGTGCAATGTAATAACCCCGCATAATTCACTTCTACAGGGCCTTTGCTTTCAGAAAATATATGTATTTGGTGTTTTAAATAATTTTCTATAAAAAAAAATGCAGATTTTAACATATGTGCGAAAAATTAAAAAAAATTGTTCTGGATGCAAAGTGGTTAAATTCTACATAAACTGGTATTTTTAGGAACTTTTAAACGTTTTTTCAGGTAAATGAACTTGGTTCTGCACACCAATATTAACTGCAGATTCCCGGCAGAGGGAAACATTTAAGCCTCATTCACAACATACATGCGGAAAAACACTTCCTTTAAGAGATTCAGGTGATCGCATATAAATATAAAAGACTTCATAGTACATACTGCTAGTTTTATTTAAAACCTTGTAAAAAGATTCATTCACATGTACAACAAGGATGCAATACATAGTCAGGTCTAAATCCAAAATGCTTACCGGCCAGGGAGACTCCACGATGCTGTTACAGGCCAGCCCAGTGTGAAGACATCAGTAAACCATGCCCACCCGACACGTTGCGTCCATCCGGACTTTATCAAAGGCCTGGTGTCAACCACTTCCCATTTCTTGTACAGGCATCACAAGGACAGGAATCGGAGGAAACTCTCCCCATTGGGGTCTCAGACACAAATAAAAGCCTGACAGAAACGTAAACTCTACTCTAAAACTTACTAATCGTAGCCATTCAGTGTGCCCTGTTTTGAATTGTAGATTGCTTCCATGTATCCTGTGTTGCCAGTTGGATTAATAACACTGTTAATCTCTTTTTTTTTATTGGTGTTATGCAGAGATTTGGCTCCGCTTTGGTTCCTTGGGGCTCCTTGCAAATAAAAAACAAACAGTTTGCAAAAGATTTCCAACCTATAGACAAAGACTGTAAATGCCCAACCTGCATAAGGTAAAAATATTATATGTATAGTACTGTAGAGGGATTATCCAGTTATGAGGTATAGTAATGTATCTAAAGCCAAGTTTGCCAGTCCTTAGACATGGTGGCTGTATTTGTTTCCTTAATATTGGCCAACTGTGGTACTATTTATTCTTGATTTAGTCGCCCCCACCCAAGACAACTGCCCATTAGGCTTTATACTTGCCTTCAGCCTTGATCCTGTGCTCTTCACTGTGCTGCCCTATTGCTTGCTTCGTGTGCATGCCGCAGCCTCCTTCATTACTATGAGAAAGTCGTACCTTGAGCTACCTCTTGAGGTGTGAACAACGGCTGTGGCACGCATGTGCAGGAAATACCGGCCATTTTCAGGGGAAAAGGCTGTGCATCTTTGTACACAGCTTTTCAGTAAAGATCGCTAAAACGGCTGTGCACTGAAAAGATTGCTGAAAGGCTGTGGAGATTGATGCATCAAGTAGAAAGGCAACACTCAGGGAGATGAGGGCAACTAACTATAAAAGAAAGACCAAGCCACAGTTCTACTTTAAAGTGTTACTAAACTTACAACAGTAAAATCAGTCAGTGTATACAGAAGAATACTTGTTATGCTCACTGTGGAACCTAAGGGGTTAATCCTCTGCCTTGAGTAAAAAGGCTGTTTGATCCTGACTTATCTGCTCCTCCTCTTGTTCAAATGTCCATGTTTTATCTCCTGATAAGACATAACCATAGCCATTCTGCACATGCTCAGTTTAGTGTGTATTGCTAGAGGTTTTTTTTTTTTTTTCTCTTGGGAGAGTGCATGTGATCAGCACAGGGCCAATCAGCACTGTCCAGACAGAGATCAGGGGTTTTGCATCCGCCTAGAGCAGAAAGAAAATTCCTCTTACAAGCTTTAACCAGTGGTCTGCTGAACACTGATAGAAGTCACAAGATTGCTATATACTGCTGATGACAAAAGGTATTTAGCAGTTTATATTTACTAAAATAACTGCATTTTCATGTTGTGTGTACTGTGGGAGTCCAGATATAGTGAATGCAGGATCCTGGGAGACCAGATATAGTGAACGCAGGGTCCAGGGAGACCAGATATAGTGAATGCGGGGTCCGGGGAGACCAGATATAGTGAATGCGGGGTCCGGGGAGACCAGATATAGTGAATGCAGGGTCCGGGTAGACCGGATATAGTGAATGCAGGGTCTTGGGAGACCAGATATCGTGAATGCAGGGTCTGGGGAGACCGGATATAGTGAATGCAGGGTCTTGGGAGACCAGATATAGTGAATGCAGGGTTCTGGGAGATCAGATATAGTGAATGCAGGGTCCGGGGAGACCAGATATAGTGAATGCAGGGTCTTGGGAGACCAGATATAGGGAATGCAGGGTCTTGGGAGACCAGATATAGGGAATGCAGGGTCTGGGGAGACCAGATATAGGGAATGCAGGGTCCGGGGAGACCAGATATAGTGAATACAGGGTCCGGGGAGACCAGATATAGTGAATGCAGGGTCTGGGGAGACCAGATATAGTGAATGCAGGGTCCGGGGAGACCAGATATAGTGAATACAGGGTCCGGGGAGACCAGATATAGGGAATGCAGGGTCTTGGGAGACCAGATATAGGGAATGCAGGGTCTTGGGAGACCAGATATAGGGAATGCAGGGTCTTGGGAGACCAGATATAGGGAATGCAGGGTCCGGGGAGACCAGATATAGTGAATGCAGGGTCCGGGGAGACCAGATATAGTGAATGCAGGGTCTTGGGAGACCAGATATAGTGAATGCAGGGTCTTGGGAGACCAGATATAGGGAATGCAGGGTCTGGGGAGACCAAATATAGGGAATGCGGGGTCCTGGGAGACCAAATATAGGGAATGCGGGGTCCTGGGAGACAATATAGGGAATGCGGGGTCCTGGGAGACCAGATATAGTGAATGCGGGGTCCTGGAAGACCACATATAGTGAATGCGGGGTCCTGGAAGACCACATATAGTGAATGCGGGGTCCGGGGAGACCACATATAGTGAATGCGGGGTCCTGGGAGACCACATATAGTGAATGCGGGGTCCTGGGAGACCACATATAGGGAATGCAGGGTCCTAGGTTTAGTAAAACTCTAAGCCCTGGTTCGCACCGGTGCAGCTTGTCATGTGATTTGGCAGTTTCCAATCGCATAGCAAGTCGCATCCTATTGTCGACAATGGAACTGTTTGAAGCGATGCAACTCTTGACTCCATCGGAGTCGCACTGATTTCGAAAGAAGTTCTTGCACTAATGTATTTTTTTGTGATTTCAGGTGGGACTTGCATAGACATAGGTGCATTAAGTTGCACAGATATCTGCCAAGTTGCACTTGAAGCCGCACTGACATGCAAATTTAAATTGTGCAACTTCAAGTGAAGTCTCATGATTTTAAAGTCTGATCCAGTGTGAACCAGATTTTAAGATTTTTTCCTAGGGTGACAACATTCACTTGCCGTAATATCTATAGAGAAACTGTGTAGTCACTGTAGGCTGCTCTTTTGATTTGGAATACAGGACCTGTCCCTTCTCCCCATCCCTAATATATAGGGAACATTTTTTTGTGGTGCACAGAAGAGAACTGGCAAAAGCTGATAACATTATTTGGGATTTCAGTGCAGTGCAGGACATTATAAAAACACTGGATTTCTGGCAAAATCAACAGATATTTTGTTGTACTCGGCTTAAAAAAAGAAAAAAAGAAAACGAATACAGCCACTAAATCTAAAGCCTTGTACATATGATGAGAATATCGGATGAAAAATACTGCTTTCGGATTGATCGTCCAATAATCTGAGCATTACTACACAACTTTCAAGAGCCGATCACGACAGTTTATGCAAAATTTATCTGAAGGGACAAGCATGAAAATGTCATCTCATATGATAACAGAACGAACAATTTTTGTTTTAATCAGTACAATATTCATCTGTAAAAAATCGAGTGACCAAGACCATGCATGCTTGGAAACAAAAGAATACATGACAAAAGAATACATTACATCACTTTGAAAGTTGTATTCTGTCATATGAGAAATTTTGTATCTTTAGTAACCTCTTCATGTTCGATATGAGACTAGTATGCAAAAAAAAAGCCTGAACGAATATTCGTCCGAGTTTGTCATCATGAGTACTAGGTACGAGGACTTGTAATCTGCAATATTTTACATCTTTGTTTTTGGGTTTAGAAACGGTTTAATAACAATAGCAAAAACCCTGACCCCAGAGCTCTGCTATGAATATTTATTAGTTTAAAAACACTTCAAATGAAGTAATCACTAATATCCTTTTTATTTAAATTTTTTTTTATTTAATCATTTATATATATTTTTTTAAATTCCTTTTTACTGGTGTTTGATGTTAATTTATATTTCAGAATCACTAAGAGCACTTATCAGTGATTACTCAATTGTATGTGCTCTTAAACTAATACATATTCATAGCTTGGCTCTGTGGTTGTGTGTTTTTTTTTTTTTTTTTATAATCTGCAATTGCCATGATCTGTGAAAAAGGTCGAGGTTTGGCTTTGCAAAGAAAGTAGGTACTGACGTTAATTCTAGAGGAATACATTCTATTATTATTATTAGAATTATTTATTTCAAATTAGAATTATTTATTAGAGTTTATTTATTTTTAGGAATTCTACTCCTTTACAAAAACACTGGTTCAATCTCATCTTGGATATACAGTTCAGGTTTGGTCATCAGTCGTCAGGAAGGATCTTGTTGAATTAAAAAGAGTTCATTGAAGGGCAACAAAATTATAAGGGGGATGGAGAACCTCTGCTAAAAGGATCAATGACATTGATGACATGATTACAGTTTTCACTCTGGAGCAGTAATAAATATATAATTACCAACAGACAGTCTCTTTATTGCAGAAGAGGCATGCAATATTCCATTTGCAGGAAAAAACACTTACCTGCCTGTTCACAACCCCCTGCAGAATATCCACAGAGCTGTGCATGCGCAGCTCTGTGTACAATAACAGCACAGTGCCAGTGTGCCGAGGTTAACGACTTTCGTGCATGGGCAGGGGTGGCATCTTCCCACACCAGTTGAAGACCAGCACCCGGAAGAAAGTGTTGGTGAGGGACCTCGCAATGTTCAGACCATTGGAACATAGGTGAGTATTCTTGCCTTTGTTTCTGCTTTAGGAGGGGATATGATTACAGTGTATACATATATCACAGGTGACTCCAGTACCTGTAATAAACGGTTTACTCTCAGGTCCCCGAAGAGGACATGTGGCCACGATTTGAGGTTAGAAGAAAGGAGATTTAACTGTACATTGCAGAAAGAGTTCTTTACTGTTAGAGCAGTAAAAATGTGAAACTCCCTACCCCAGATACGAGCTGAGAATGTCGACAACTTTTAAAACCTCTTCTTCCTCTGGAAGCAAAATATACAGGGCAATGGGAGTTGTTTGAGAATAAAAAACTCATACACACATGTAGGCTGAACTGGATGAAACTGTCCTTTTTTTTTTTTTTTTTTTTGTAACATTATAAAGTATGCAACTATGTATACATTTTGTGATTTCCGCAGTCCCTTATTTTAAAGTAACCCTGTTTATGATTTAAAATCTATAATTTAATCATTTAACTGTATATAAGAGATTAAATGCACAACTCTCCTGCTGCCTGAACTGGTGAGCTCCACTCCAATCAGTAGAAATGGTCCCCAGAAGTCCACTAGGAGACCAAGACTTCCATGAGTGTCGATCTGGGTCCAGCGCAGCCCTTACTGGGTCCTCCTGCTGATCTCCACATCTCTGTCTCTTGCTGTGATATGGAGGTCAACAGGAGGAACCTGTGAGTGCTGTGGGGTACCAGGAGCTCGATACTCATGGAAGTGTTGGGTTCCCAGTGGACTTCAGAGGACCATTTCTACTGATCAAAGTGGAGTTCAGTGGTTCAGGCAACAGGAGAGGTAAGTTTTCATTCTTTTTGTTACAGATAACTGCTTAAAATTTACCCAAAATGCAGCTTTGGATCTCTGCGCAGGCTGCCCTGGTCCTTTTCGGTGGGTTCCGCTAAAGGTTGCAGGCTGGAAGAGAGTCTGTTCTAACTCGGAACACACTGTACAAGCATAAAAAAAATTCCAATAATCAAACTCCATGCCAAGTCATATGTCACACAGACAGTAGCTGTCTCAGCTTGCTCCATCTAGACCACACCACCAAATATGTTTCGCCTGGCCCAAGGTGTGGCAAAAAAACATTGGCGGCATGGCCTAGATGGCGAGAGCTGAGGCTGGTACTATCTGTTTGACATATCAACAGCCAGTGAGGGAGCTCCAGAACACTACCGTGCTGGAGTGTAGATGAGTTTAGTTTTCGCTTTGATTTGAAGTTTTGGGCCAGAGACAGGGTCACTTTAAAACATAATCTCATGTTTTAATGGAGTAGAGTTCTCCCACATCAAAGCATCTAGAACTATATGAACTCAAAAATGGTATTTGTTTAATTCAGTAGTTAGGAATGCTTTCAGGCCAAGAGTAATTATATAAATGCATTTAATACTTTTTTTTTTTTTTCTTTGTTTTTGTTGTTTAGATACACCCGTGCCTACATCCACGCTTTGTTTAAAAGTGACACAGCAGGCATGCATCACATTACAATCCATAACATTGCATACCAGGTGAGCCGGCCGCCATGCCCCCAGGAGACGATAAAAGTTTGTATGAAAGGTGGCACTGTACTAAAGATAATAATGACGCTCAGATGGAAATGGGGATCGAATTTTAGCTGCTGTTTAGCAAGTACAGATTACAGACGGTCTCACTAGATGGGAAGAAACCAGTTTGGGTAAATCTCCAGCAGCAACACGAACAGAAATAAAAATTTTTCTTTAGTTGAGTAAGGGAAGACCAGAACCCTGTCAGATTTGTATTTCTAAACTCAAGTACAGCACTCCTAAAACAAAATTCATAGCAGTCTAGTATAGTAGAATGTCAATTTTTGACGAAACATGTAGGGCTGAGACCGTGCTCGTGACATCACATATTACAGAATCTGGAAGCAATCTGTGTATTCCCCTGGGGAGTTTTTGATTTGTACTATGCATGATATGATTTCTCACTTTTAGTGTCATACCATTCCGGTAAACCACTGACCTGGGTATTTGTGTGGGCGCAAAGCGTGTGCTTTTTTTTTTTTTTTTTTCACCTGAAGGAGTTATTTTTTTTTTACACTATGCAAAGATTGTCATTTACAACTCATGGTGGAGTTCCTTTGTTTGCATGGAAATTCTACTATAGACACGTATCCTGGACTGGTATGAGTTATGTTTTTATCAGCGCTGCACTTGACTTTTGGGTTTTTTTTTTTTAAATCGGATGACTTTTTTTTTTTATTAGAGAATTTACTTTGGATTTATTTTATATTGCCCTTTTGTATCTAATGGTGTGCTGGCTTAGGGATTTTACCATTTAACACAATTTTTTTTTATTTTAAAGAGATTTTTATTTCTGTCGGTCTCTCTGTTGCGGATTTTCTCTCATTCCCTGTCTGGTTAAACTGTTGTCACTGTGTCAGGTAGTCTTTAACAGATCCAGGTAGCAGACAGAAGTAGCCTGTTCTTTCCCACCACAGTGTGACACCAACAGGAGGAGCTATGTGAAATGGAGTGTGTCCCTCCCAGCATAAGGTGACACAGATGGGAGGATTTATATGAAGTGGAGTCTGTACCTCCCAGCACAGGGTGACACAGACAAGAGGAGCTATGTGACATAGAGTCTGTCCCTCCTACCACAGGCTGACACAGACCAGATGGACCTATGTGACATGGAGTCTGTCCATCCCACCACAGGCTGACAGACATGAGGAGCTATGTGACATGGAAACTGTCCCTCATACTACAGGGTGACACAGATGGGAGGATTTATATGAAGTGGAGTCTGTCCTTCCCATCATAGGTTGACACCGACAGGAGGAGCTATGTGACATGGAGACTGTCCGTCCCAGCACAGGGTGACACAGACAGGAGGAGCTATGTGACCTGGAGACTGTCCTGCCTACTACAGGGTGACACCGACAGGAGGAGCTATGTGACATGGAGACTGTCCCTCCCAGCACAGGGTGACACAGACAGGAGGAGCTATGTGACCTGGAGACTGTCCTGCCTACTACAGGGTGACACAAACAGGAGGCGCTATGTGACATGGAGACTGTCCCTCCCACCAGGGGATAACTCAGAAGGGTAGGAGATGTTGATCTTGGTCTTTCTATTTAATAACTGATAGCTTTTTCTTTTTTTCACCAGTTGAATCTGATGCATTCGGTAAGGGAGAGCATTCTGCAGGGGTGTTTCCCTCCGTTTATACAGGATTTCATGAAGACCATGTATGGAACAAAGGATAAATACCCACAGTGGGCTGTTGATGCTTTAGAGACTGTCAATATCACGTTAAAGTAACTCCATTATTGATGATACTACAACATTCCCTCCACTTCTGAACTGACCATCTTCTTTGACACAGAGGTTGCTGTATAGAATCCACTCCTGTGGTGCCATTATGATGAGATGGTGCTTTAATTATGACTGGGTGGAGGTCCAAAAGCCAAACTTGTTTAAGTGTGTATATACTGTATGTTTTATTATATTTTAATGCTTTCCTCTCCAAATATTTTGAATCTCTTTTTTAACAATAAAACTGTCTTTTTATTTGGTGCTTGTTTGTGGAATTTTTCATATTGTAACAATTTTGGGGAGGGAATAATTAATCACAGCTGTGTATTCACTGTAAAGTTCCTCTAAATTTTTAATGGGGTTTGGTTAAAGCAAAGGTTTAATGTGTTTTTATGTGTGGGCATATTGTGACTTATACTGTGCTTACCTTTTGTAATTTTGATAACATGTTAAAATGCTGCACTCTTCAGTAGTTTTGTTTTTTTTATTAAATTTAGGTCATTCAAAATGTACTTTCAAAGGAAAGATCTGTTTTGATACATATGTTGTTCTTCTTTTAAAGGAAAAGTTTTTAGTGTATTTTCATTAAGTGCTAATTTTAAATTTTTATTACACATTTTGTAATTTTTTTTTTGCATAGTTGTACTTCCATATTTTTGTCATGGTGTTAAGTTTAAATATTTTTAGATTGGCGACTAGGTGGAGCTCTGTATTTTTTTGCCTCTCCTGCTGAACATGCATGTAGTGATTTTCCCATGCAGGGCAAAGCAACAGGTTTACTCTGGGAGCATTCCCCATAGCTGTTTATGCTAACTACCCCCCACCCCAACAGTTTGATAACATGATTTTATTGTGTATGATACCAAACCAATTTATTGGGCCTGTCCTCTTAAACAAAAAAAACAAATGTTACAAAAGGCATTGTAAACTCTTGTTTACCTGTGCTGTACATGCCTAGGCAAATCATTAAAAGGAAAGAGTAGAGCAATTATTTTGGCAGTTGCAAATATTTATAGCTTGCTTCCTAATTTAGTAGGAAAAGAAGGAATCCTTTGAAGGGAGAAGAGGCAGAGTGAGGTGACTGTGGACCAAGAATGGAGAAGGCAGTGTGGGAGCTTATTGTGGAGCAGGGATAGAGAAGGCAGAGCAGGCACATAGAGGGGACTGAGGAAAGAGAAGACTGATCTGGAGCTAAATGTACGGCTGGGATAAAGCTGAGTTGGAGCTGATTGTAGAGCTGAAGCAGAGATGGATATGACTGGAGAGAAAGGAGACAGATCTGGAGCCGAGTGTAGAACATGAATAGACAAAGCAGGGATCTGACTGTGGACTTAGGAGAGGAGACAGATCTGGACCTGACTGTAAACTTGAGACAGATCTGGAGCTGACTGTAAACTTGAGACAGATCTGGAGCTGACTGTAAACTTGAGAGAGGGGGCAGATCTGGAACTGACTGTGGACTTAGGAGAGGAGACAGATCTGGAACTCGATGTAGAACTGGGGTAAAGCAGGCTGAATGAGAGCTGTTTGTAGAGCACGTGGATTGAGGAAGTAGAGAGGGAGATGACCGAGGAGAGAGGAGACAGATCTGGAGCTGATTGTAGAGCAGGAATAAAGGACAGAGTGGAATCTGATTGGATTTGGGACAGAGGAGACAAGTCTGGAGCTGAGTGTAGAGTGGGAGCTGACTGTGATCTTAGGAAAGAGGAGACAGATTGGGAACTGGCTGTGGCCTTGGGTAAGAGGAGACAGATCATGAGCTAAACATAGACTAGGAGGTGACTGTGGACTTGGGAGAGAGGAGACAGATCTGGAGATGAGCATAGAGTGGGAGCTGACTGGGGAGAGAGGAGACAGCAACCATTCATAAGCACAATCAGCTGACTATGGACTTGAGAGGTGACAGATCTGGAGCTGAGTGTAGTCTGAGATCTGAGTATGGACTGGAGGGAGAGGAGACATCTGGAGCTGACTGAAGAGCAGGAATAAAGGAAGCAGAGCGGGAGCTAAATGTGCACTTGGAAGAGAGGAGACAGATCTGGAGCTGAGTATAGAGTAGCATCTGAGTGTGGACTGGGAGAGAGGAGACAGATCTGATGCTGAGTATAGAGTGGGAGCTGAGTGTGGACTGGGGAGAGAGGAGACAGATCTGGAGCTGAGTATAGAGTAGGAGCTGAGTGTGGAGTGGGGAGAAAGGAGACAGATCTGGAGTTGAGTGTAGAGTGAGAGCTGAGTGTGGACTGGGGAGAAAGGAGACAGATCTGAAGCTGAGTGTAGAGTGGGATCTGAGTGTGGACTGGGGAGAGAGGAGACAGATGTGGGATCTGAGTGGGGAGAGAGGAGACAGATGTGGGATCTGAGTGTGGAGAGAGGAAACAGATCTGGAGCTGAGTGTAGAGGGGATAGAGGAACAAGAGTGGGGGCTGAGAGAGGAGGCAAAGCAGGAGCTGATTATAAAGCACCAACGGAGGAAGCGAAAGTAGGAGCTAATTGTGGACTGACAACAGAAGAGACAAAGGATGGCATTGGAAAATGGTACAGAATGTCAAGGACACTGGAGCACAAAAGTGAGCACAAGGCAGCAGCCAGCTGGTTTAGGATATAGGCACCGTACAAAGGTCAGGAGGCTGGAGTGCAGCAGGCAGTATTTTGGAGTAATGAGTTGTGTGAAATGATGCAGATATGACCAGGCTGTGCTCTGGATAATGGGGGTTGTTGTGCAAGAGAAGATACTGCAGATAGTTTGGAGAGAGCTGTTCTAGAATTCATAGCTTCAACAGCAGGGATGCTGCTCCAGTGTTGAGAGAGCCGAGACTAGTGGGGGTTGTGTAACAATGTGGACCCTGATGAGGAAACTGTTATAGGAGGTGGACACTGGGGAGAGAACCGCAACACAGGGCTACATGGAGTGTCAAGCAATGTTGACAATCTTTGTCAGGAACTGTCCAAGTGTAAACAGTGAATGTGGTCTAATTGAGAGGTGGCTCGTGTGCTTTCCTGCTACATTTAGTCCTGGTGGCAGAATCCTGTCTATATACTGAAAATCCTAGGTCTTTGAGAAGCTGCCTAACACTTTAAACACTCATGGGAAAAAGATTGTTGCTTTGTGTGGTAGCAGACTTCTCAAGTAAGGACAGAGGGAGTTTCAATTCTGAATTAATATAAGCAGGAGCATTTTCTGAATGCAGTGGTCCTATGTGCAAGATCATAAGTAGGACCTCCTTCCTCAGGACTACACTATGGCACTCTATGCTATGGGCACATACACATGAGTTGCTTAGCCCCGGCCAAGGCTGGTGACCCAGGATGCAAACCATCTGTGTTCAGGCTTGGTCAGAGGTGCTGATCACATGCAACCATTCATAAGCACAATCAGCTCCAGAGCTGGCTATTGACTCAAGCCCAATGAACACCTACGCTCCTCAGACCTTTGGACTGCATACTACACTTTACTAGGTTTATAAATACTGTTTATTATTTGGATTTGTTTGTGGGGACTGGTGAGGAAAAGCCTGGCCTATGCATCCACTGGTGCTAGTCTGGATGTGAGTACATATGTATTATGTGCTTACTTGATCAGCGCATTATCAACACTGCACCCACCCCCTTCAGTAGGGTTGCCACCGCATCCCTTCAAAACCTAACACATATTATAACCATGGCAGCACCTGCCTGGAGTTTGCATGTTCTCCCTGTGCCTGCGTGGGTTTCCTCCGGATACTCCGGTTTCCTCCCACACTCCAAAGACATGCTGGTAGGTGAATTGGATCCTGTCTAAATTGGCCCTAGTATGTGTATGTATGAATGTGAGTTAGGGACCTTAGATTGTACACCCCTTGAGGGTCAGGGACTGATGTGAATGTACAATATATATGTAAAGTGCTGCGTAAATTGACAGTGCTATATATAAGTACCTGAAATAGTAAAAATACAGAACAGTGGTAAAACACGCTGTAATTTGTTCTAATCAGCTTGGGAACACTTGACGGCGCTGTATAAGTACATGAAATAAATATTATTTACACATGTTCTGAGGCTAACTTAATGCAGATAGGGCACTAAGTGAGTTTAATTACCGTTCAAATGCCTAATCAGCCACAGAACCTGTGTAATTAATGTGTTCGGTTTTACCCCCGGTTCACATCTATGCGGCCGTGCGGGTCACATTTTGCACAGGCATGAGAGCCCATTCATTTGAATGGACTCCCGTGCCCGTGCCACGCAGGGAAGAAGTCCCTGTACTCCTTTGGCAAACGCAGCCCGCGCGGGAACCCCGGTTCCCAGTACAGTTGCATTTTCCAGTGCGGGCAGCGTGCCATTAGAAGTAATGGCACCCACCCGCGGGTCCGCATTTCTCGGTGCGGGTGGTGCGGCTGCACAGATTTTTGTGCGGATCCGGAGTGGCACCACCCGCACAGATATGAACCTAGGGTTAAAGGGATGAGGTGGCAACCCTGCCCTTCAGAAGGCAGATGCATAGCTGGCATTGGCAGATTTTCTTTGAGCTGCATCTGCAAGTGACAGGCACAGCTACAGCTCAAAGGATGGAGTTGTGGTAAGGAGAGCTTCCCGAATTGAATCCCCAATGTGTGCAAAAGATGCACAATGGGCCCCCTCTTCCTTGGGCCCATGAGCACTGCATACACTGCACACATTAGGGATGCATCAGGAAATAAATGGGATGGGCTATGGAATAATCTCACAACACAAGGGCAGAACCTGGACAAAAGGTTGTAATCATACAGGAGTGCTTAGGTATGAGAAGTGAGAGGAAATCTGTCCTTCACTGTCAACCTTGAAAGAGGTGTTCCCCACTTTTTCACACCTTTGGAAAAATTACCACTCACTTCCTTTCCTAGTGAAAGGGGACAGGAAGTGAAAGCAAATCTCCCCAACAAGGACTAAGGCTGGCCATACAATTTTCTGTCCAATTTCTGCCCAATTTCCTTTAGATTTACCTTCAACTATGTAATGCAAGAGCCTCCCTAATTGGATACAGTTGAAAGTGTTGTTAGGTTTGACCTCCTATTATATGTTTTTTTTGGTAAATCTAAACCAAAAATCTCAAGAAAATTGTATAATGTATGGCCAGCCAAAGAACCACAAATGTGACAAGTGTTCTAATCCTTGCTTGCCCTATCAAAAACAGGTCACATTCACTAATATTCACATTTATCAATTTATCTAAAAAAAAGAGCTATAGCTTTCCTTTAACGAGGTGTAATAAATGCTTAGAAAACATTTTAGAGACTAAGAGGTATTTTTCTCCATGAATATAATAAGGAAGGACAAGGATTTCTGCTGGCCTGTAGTGGTTTTATCAGCAAGTCCATAGTGTTCCATTAACAGCATTGAGCCTAAAAGGTCACCTCTACTGACCCATCATCTCTGCCAGGGCTCCTGACGTGCAGGGAGCTATGGAAACTAATATAAGGGCGGACTACAGATACTGTATTTATTTAGAATAACTTGATTAACATGAACCTACCCACGTGGAAGAAAGATATATTTAGTATTTAAAAAAACTGCTGGTCTACTGGAATTTTCATGCACAACCATCTCCAATGAGTTGCAGTTGTGTGGACGAAAAATGCCTTGCTGATGGTCAGCAGAGAATGGGCAGACGAGTTTGAGATGATAGAAAGGCAACAGTAACTCAAATAACCACTCGTTACAACCAACCCTCATGGAAGAAAAATATATTTGAAATATATTTTAAAAATATCCTTTCCAAATGTATTGACATATATTTGAAATACTACAATCAATATATTTATATATATATATATTTATATTTTTATATATATATATATATATATATATATATATATATATATATATATATATACATACATACATATATATACATATACATACACACATATATATATATTTTTTTATAAATATATATATATATATATGTATACTGTATGTTGAAATGTGTCTTGTATATATTAACAAATATATGAAGAATATTTCTATAAATACATTTTCAATTATATGTCTTTGAAAATACATTTAATCTACATTTTGGGACTGCATTTACAAATATGTGTTAAAATTACTTTTTATATGTTGAAAATAATCTGAAGAATATATTTAAAAAATATATATTTTTAAATATATGCCTTTAGAAAATTTTATTTAAATGTACATTTTTTAGAATACATGTTAAAATATATTAATGTAGGCCGATATAGTGTAAATATATGTCACATATATAATTTTTTTTTCTAAATATATTGGAAATATATTTCTCTTCCATGTGGGTACACTTAAAAAGTGAAGGTTTGCTATTTTATAGGGAACATCTAGAAATATTAAATTGTACCTAAACTCTGAAAATTGTAATTTTTTTGTCTAGAATTCCTCCTGTAAAATAGCAGTGCATTTCCTGACATGTGAATGTGCATAAAGCCTCATTGCTGTATATTTGCAGTGTGAGATCATCTTAGGTAGTGCTACCTCTGACTGCTAGTCTCAGAAGATTTGGAGAGAGAATTTGTGCTGTCACTGATATGCTGCTAACTGCTCTCCATGCTGGAGAGGAAGCTGTAACTGAAAACTTGCACTTCATGCATCTCCTATATTTGCACCTGGTGATCCTGCCAGTAATTCTGTTATTTTTCAACTTCCTATAAAAGAATAAGCTGACCAGCAAACGTTGCAGTTAGAGGGTTGAGACCAGGGGCGGACTGACCATTTGGAAACTCGGGAACTGCCCGAGGGCCCGTGGTCAGTAGGGGGCCCCATGAGATGCCCCTGGTACCTTTTTCATAGGCTTTTTTGAGTTTGGGCAAGGACACAGGAGCCCCATGATCCCCTATTGCCTGTGGGCCCCATGAGTTGTCAGTCCACCCCTGTTTGAGACCAACCATTTACTAACAACAGGGTACTTACACTGCTCAGATATTATTAATTTATTCCAAAAATAAACAAAAAATCTGGCTGCCACCAGATAAAAAGAGTGTTAACTGGCTTTAATTTGTTAGGCCCCTTTCAGACGGGGTAGATTCTTTCAAGCGAATACGCCTGCTCAGCAGGGGAGCAGGTGGATGATAGGTCCGCGTCCGCTCCGCCATGTAGAGCGGACACCAACACAACCCACTGTTTTCTATGGGGCGGTTGGATGCCTGTCCGTTTCCATCTGAGTAATCCGATCTGGACAGATGGGGAACAGATCCCCATCCATCTGTTTTAGCGTACAGGATTGGATCAAATGCAGCTGGCTGTCAGCGGACACATGTCTGTTGACACCCGCAGCTCCATAGAGAGCTATGTATGGTCCAATTGGGCCCACCTGAAAAACTGACAGGCGGACCCAATCGGACCATCAGTGTGAAAGGGGCCTTAGTCACTTATGTAAAGTCCATCTAACTCTACTCTCTCCAAACAATGCTGCTGTCCATTGTGTCTCCATTGCTCCACCATAGATAGAGGAGCCACCCTAAAAACAGAATATTATTGCAGCCACCACATCTAAGGACTGGTATGCTGCAATATATTACATTTTTGGGTTTTGATACGCTTTTGTTTGTTTTTTTTTAAGATTAAGGGCCACAAGTTCCTGTGCTAATAGTTGCAAATCCTTTCCCAGCAGCTAATGGCCTGCTTCAAACCAAGAACTTTGGTGGACGAGCCAGCCTCATTGTGTGTTATAGCTGGTTTGTGTTCTCAACAAGCAGAGCATGTTACATGTCTGCAACTTCTAAAAAACCTATGGTACGGATGTTGCATCCAAAGTGAAAAGCGGACACTGGGAAATATTTTTTCACCTTCTATATTTAAAGCTGAATTGGAGTTCTCCTGCATTATACAGCAATAGAGCACATTTCAGCTGATAATGACACAGCATGGCAGACCAGGGTGGAGGCAGGAGCTGCAGAGCCACAGGTCGTCTGAGCTTTTCTGAGAACAGAATAGTCATTTTTAACACTGAGCTGGCTAATTTTAAAACCTGAGGCAGAAACCTCCTTCCTGGGCTGTTATTTATATCTCCAGAGAGATCCAAGGACCATTGCCTTGCCGCACTCCACTCCTAGAGGATGCCATTCTGCCAGTTGGTAGAAAGGGGGAGCCAGAGCACCATGAGAACATTTTGCATTGACAAGCTGAGTGCTGCAGAAATGGTGTAAATGTTATTTCTCATAATTATTATTTGTAGAGATATTTTACTGCTGTGCCTGTCTGAGGAATTAATACAATCAGGCAGAAAAATTGTCATGCTTGATGTATCTTTACGGCACAGTTAATTTGCATTGAAAATCTCTGTTTATCTTGCTGCTGCTACCTGTTGCTCTGCTGCTTGGTAAATGCAGTTGTTTCCTCTAGTGCTGTCCATGTTTACCAGCTGGAAGGAAACAACTGCAACTCCCTGTGTGTCACATCCTGACATATTTCTCTTTGGTGTTCATGCCCCCATCTCAGCCCCCTATAGACTGGCTCTTTCCCTTGTATTCCCATCATTCTCCTATTCCCTTTCCTCTCTCTAATAACTCTCCCCCCTCTCACCTCAGATTTTCATTCACTCTCTCCCTCACCATCCACTTGATTTTCTTCTTCCTGATCTTCACTTCATTCAACCTGGTTACCTTGCGCTCTTTTTTTTCTCCCTTCCCTTCCTCTGTCCTCTTTCTCCTCTCTTCCTCTGTCCACGCTTTCAGTCCTCCTCCTCCCTTCTCTTCCTCTGTCAACTCTTTCAGTCCTCCTCCTCCCTTCTCTTCCTCTGTCCACTCTTTCAGTCCTCTTCCTTCTCTTCCTCTGTCCACTCTTTCAGTCATCCTCCTCTCTTCTCTTCCTCTGTCAACTCTTTCAGTCCTCTTCCTCCCTTCTCTTCCTCTGTCCACTCTTTCAGTCCTCCTCCTCCCCTCTCTTCCTCTGTCCACTCCTTCAGTCCTCTTCCTCCCTTCTCTTCCTCTGTCCACTCTTTCAGTCCTCCTCCTCCCTTCTCTTCCTCTGTCAACTCTTTCAGTCCTCCTCCCCCTTCTCTTCCTCTGTCCACTCTTTCAGTCCTCCTCCTCCCTTCTCTTCCTCTGTCCACTCTTTCAGTCCTCCTCCTCCCTTCTCTTCCTTTTTTCTCTTTTTCAGTCCTCCTCCTCCCTTCTCTTCCTCTGTCCACTCTTTCAGTCCTCCTCCTACCTTCTCTTTCTCTGTCCACACCTTCAGTCCTCCTCCTACCTTCTTTTTCTCTGTCCACACCTTCAGTCCTAAACCTCCCTTCTCTTCCTCTATCCACTCTTTCAGTCCTCCTCCTTCCTTCTCCTCCTTTCTATTCTGTTCCTCTGTCCTCTCTCTTTCTATTCTTCTCTTCCTCTGTTCACTCTCTCTCTGTTCCTCCCTTCTCTTCATCTATCCTATCTCTTTCTCTCCTCTATTTCTCTCTCTCTTCCACCCTTCCTTTCCTCTGTCCTCCCTCTCTCTGTTCCTCCCTTCCCTTCCTCTGTCCTCCCTCTCTCTGTTCCTCCCTTCTCTTCATCTGTCCTCTCTCTTTCTCTTCTTCCCTTTTCTTCCTCTCTTCCACCCTTTTCTTCCTTTGCCAACTTTCTCTTCTCTTCTTCTGTCCTCCCTTTCTCTTCCTCTGTCTTCTCTCCTTTTCTATTCCTCTCTTTTCTTCCTCTGTCCTCTCTTTTCCTCCCTACTTTTCATCTGTCCTCTTTCTCTTCTGTACTCTCTCTCTGTTACTCTCTTCTCTTCCTTTGTTCTCTCTTTTCTCTTGCTCTCTCTCTTTTTGTCCTCTCTTCCACTTTTCTCTCATTCCCACTCTTCCTCCCTTCTCTTCCTCTGTCTTCTATCTTACTCTTCCTCCCTTCTCTTCCTCTGTCCTCTGTATCTCAGTGTCTTCCACTTTTCTCTTCCTCTGTCTTGTATCTCTCCCTCTCTTCCTCCTTCTCTTCTTCTTTTTTCTATTCCTTTGACCTCTC